CCCCCCCCCCGAGCCCCCCCCCCCGGGGCCCCCGGCCGGGGCCGGCCGCCTTCAGCACCCGAGGGCGGGCGGACAGCTCCGGGCCCCGGGCCCCGCGTGTCGGGCCGGGCTCAGCCCGCCGGGCGCTGGGGAGGCCCCCGGGCCCGGACCCCCCTCCCGGGACACCGTACCGCACCGAAATAAAGCCCGACCAGCGCCGCTGGCCCCTGGGGCTTGAAGCGATTCGCTACCTTTTGGCTGTGAGACAGTAATAACTCCAGCAGCCCGTTGGTCTGAGCTGCAGAGATGAACCAGCCCAGCTAGACAGGGAGGGGAACGAGGCACAGAACACGAGACATCACTGGAGAGAGAAGCAGAGATCCCCACCAGTCTCCTGTTTTCTCCATGCTACCACTGTTCCCAAATCAATGGTTTAGGGTCAGGCAGACCAGTTCTCAGTGGTGTAAGCTGGTGAAACTCTTCAACAGAAGGTGTTTTATACGTGGTCTGCCTCCCTCTCCACCAGCATGTCCTTTATAAACTGAAAGTGCGCCTTCGGTGCTTCCTTCCGAAATGCAGTAAAGACACAGTTTCTTATGTATCGGGGCATGGCTGAGGACAACCACCACCTCAGAGAAAAAAAAAAAAAAATTAGGCCAGTCCTCATTCAGTTCACATCGTCCCTTTGGGACTTTTAAGAGTAATAGAACAGCCACAGATCTACAAGCAAGGACAAATCAATGCCTGAAGTAGCTGTTTCAGTAAACAAAGTCCAGCCACTTGGATATGCACAGAAGCAGCACTGAAAATTCAGATTCAACCATATCTCTCGAGATGAAAGAGGCTTTAGAAAAGAGGTAACTTTTGATTATTTGACAGTCATGCACTTCTGACTCCCGCTCATAATACACACACAGACTACAGCTTCACACTAGCTTCCAGCTAATAACACTTCAAAGTCCTGCTCGTACAAATACCAACAGCAGGAAAGATGCTGCAGCACTATACAGACCACCTTTCACACGAAGCCTTTGGACTCGCACACAGTCTGCTCTAAGGCCAGCTGAGCTCATTCCAAGTGCTACAGGGTCACCATGAGCACTCTGTTGATTATACTGCAGGAAAAGGACATTTTGTCCCAATTTCCAGCTAACCAAGTGGCCTTTATGGTTCACTCATACCATCCATTCCCACCACATTCATAACAAACTTTGGGGCTAAAAGAGAGGAGAGCAGAACTCATAATAGCTACATGCAGAACAGCAGGACCACAGTCGTCATCTTCCAATTTCTAGTCTGCCATCTTCAAGCATTAAGGACGTGCGAGATCTGTTTGGACGTTCAGGAGATGCACAGGCTGGATGCTGAAGAGTAAGTATCGGTTCTCAATAGAGTGCTGATGACTATGTTATCTACCAAAAGCCATGTAACACGGGGCATTTCTTTGCATTAATGAGCAGCTGGGAGGAACAGGGACCATTTAAACCCTCATGAATGGCCTGGGACCAGGCTTTTTTGTCTAATCCAACCAAGCCTGGCTTTCACCTTCAGGCCCCTGCTTCACTGCCTGCTTTCCGTCATCTGCACAGGGGCTTTCCGATAAACTGGTGCAGCAACAGCTCTACTGGATTCTGACCTTGGCCTTGCTTATGCCTAAGCTGGCTGCTTCCTAGTGCCAGAAGGACTGAGGTAGTGGCAGCGCATCATGTCCCACTTCTAAGAGCACTGAAATATTGCATACGGTTGATACGACACACGCTTTTCCAGCCACAAGCCAGGCCAGCGACGTAGCCCCAGTTATCTTGCCAATTCAGCCAAGCTTCTCTGTCACACCAAAGTAAATCCGGAGAAGCTTGTACCTAGGAATTCTAGAGGTCAAAGTCAGCAAATACCACCTCAGCAAACAGATACCACTTTGGCAGAGACACCACCGTATGAGTATCTCTTATTTCACTTAATCTCATTTTCAAGGTTTCCCTAGGTTCTGTTGGAGGAGACCTTGCCACTTCTCCTACAGGCGTAGGCTGCCAAGGAGATGGAATAGTGCAGTGACTGAAAGCATCGCCAATTAACACCACATTGAATCATCTGCAATTCAATGAAAGACACATGCAGGCTCGGCTTAGGGGCTCTCATGCGTGTCTTTGTAACAGCCACACAAATAACTCACACAAAGCCTTCCCCGAGAAAAAAAAAAACAAACAAAACAGGTCCCATGGGAGAGGAGTAATGAGATGAAATGAGACTTGCCTCCGCTGAGAAGGTGATTTAAGACTCCATCACACACTGTACATGGCAGTCTTGCAGAACGGAGAGCACCACAATCAGTGCCTCAGACACCACCTTCTGTGCCCAAGAGCAGAAATCCCTCCTGGCTGGCACCGAGGGCTTGTGGCTTCAAAATTTGATTTTAAACCCACGCTGGGGACAAGGCAAATGTGAATTTGATTGCTTGGGCCTCCCACCCCAAACAGCAACAGTCAGGAATCAGTGCTAATAAGCTAAGTATTATCAGGCAAGAATTTTGCCTTGGAAGTCCGCCTCCATCCAGAACCCAGAGACAGCAGCTTTAAGCCACGTGTTTCTCCATGTACAACTAGGGCATTCCCTGTTGAAGGGCCACTCTGAAACATACTCTCAAAACCCTCTCTGGCCACACACCTGGATTTCTTTCTAGAAAAGAAACTAGAGAAAGGGAGAGGGGCAGGGAAGGAAGAGGGAAAGGAGTGCATGCTCTGGCCTAACCCTGACAACAGAGGTGGGACACAGCCAGGGTACAGTCCCGGGTCTCACAATACAGATAAGCATTAGTTATCTGCCTGCGCAGTCAATGAACTGTCTCGTACTGCACAACAGAGAAACCACCCAACAGATGAGCTGAAGCTTTCTGACAACAGCTTGAGCATTGACTATAGCCAGATTTTGGCACCCACGTAGGGGCTTACTTCTCTGATGTGGAAAGCACCAGCTGCCTCACCCCCTCCCTTCAAAATGGCTGGACACCCAGCACTCCCTGGAAGCAAAGTCACCATCCGCTCCCTGTCAGATACTGGCAAGCGCCGAGGCACACCAGCCTGATGTTAGTGCCCTAAAAAGAGCTGGGGAGGTTCAGGTCAGGACAGAAGCACATCAGGAGAGCTGAGGAAAGAGGTCTACACATGGCCAGATTTGGGTGGTGCGTTGCATGCATTGGGTGGCAGAGGAGGAAGTGGCAAATCCCCAGCTAAGCCTCTCCAAGTACAGCAGAGGATCTTAAACATCATTCCAAGCTACATCTTTGAGGGGGATCCAGCTGCAGGACAGGGCAAGCACACAGGGATGCAAAGAAGTTGCCTCTGGGTTGCACTCATGGTTTTCGTTTGTTTTGGCAGTAACAGAGAAGCCAGCACCCTACACCAACGTGATCATGCCCAGTCTCTTCAGCATCATCTGTTTCCTGGGCATTGTGGGGAACCTCGTTGTCATCTACACTATCGTCAAGAAGAAGAAGCTGAGATGCAAACAGACCGTGCCTGACATTTTCATCTTCAACCTCTCCATTGTGGACCTCCTCTTCCTCTTGGGCATGCCTTTCCTCATCCACCAGCTCCTAGGCAATGGCTCATGGTATTTTGGAGCTCCCCTATGCACCATCATCACTGCCCTGGACACCAACAGTCAGATCACCAGCACCAACATCCTTACAGTGATGACACTGGACCGTTACCTGGCAACTGTCTACCCTCTAAAATCTACCTACGTCCGGACCCCGTGTGTTGCAGCTCTAGTTATCTGCTTGGTGTGGCTCCTTTCCTTCCTGACCATCATTCCTGTGTGGATGTACGCAGGTCTTATGCCTCTGGAGGATGGGACTGTCCGCTGTGCTCTCTTGCTTCCCAATCCAGAGACCGATATCTACTGGTTCACCCTCTATCAGTTCATGCTGGCATTTGCTGTGCCATTGATTGTGATCTGTGTGGTCTATTTTAAGATCCTCCAGCACATGGCCACCACTGTGGTCCCACTGCCCCAAAGAAGCCTCCGGGTACGTACCAAGAAAGTCACCCGCATGGCAGTTGCCATCTGCTCTGCCTTTTTTATTTGTTGGGCTCCCTTCTACATCCTCCAGCTGGTTCACCTCGGCATCGACACACCATCCATGGCCTTCTTTTATGCCTACAACTTTGCCATTAGCTTGGGCTATGCCAACAGTTGCCTCAACCCCTTCCTCTACATTACCCTCAGCGAGACCTTCAAGCACCAGTTCTTAGTGGCCATCCGCCCTGCAAAAGAGCCACGTCGCAACAGCAGCTCTGTCAACAACAACAGCATGACAGAGGCCAGTGTGTGTCTAAAACTGGCACCAGAATCTACTCAGCAGACTCAGTTTCTGGAGGACTTTTCCCCACATTCACTGCCTGTGACTGTGGCTGTTCACTAGGGCACTCTGAAGTGACCGCAGCAAAAAGCCTTCAGATCTATAAGTCAATGGAGAAGCAGAAGCTGCAGGCAATTCTGGGTGAAGTGTATAAACTACAAGCTTCCACCTCCAAGAGTCCAGGTGCCTCCCTTTTTCATTGCAGGGCTCTGCTCCTACACGGCCCTTGGCCTACGAGATGCTGCATCCTGCTGCTTCTTTCCACTCCCGCACGGGAGGATTCTATCACACAAGACATTGGGCCCCCAAAAATGATGGATGGAAAAGAGAGAAAGGACAGGAAGAGGAGTTCAAGGGGGAATATTCACCCTGGAAGAGTAAAACCTCTATTGACAACGCTGACCAGGGATTCCCTGCCTCTTGTCCCGACCAGGATATCTAAGCAGCATGCCAACATAGAGCTTCTTCGTTCAAAACTTGAACCTTTGAAACACAATGACGTATATTTATTTTTGGTAAGAAATCTGACCTGCAAACTTTGATAGCTGTGCTCATATCCTAGAAGCAAACAGCAGAGATCTTGGGGCCAGAAGTCTCACCTAGGTCTGCCACTTGGCCTTTTGGTCCAGCCCTGCCTGTCTCCAGTGGGCTGTACTGTTTGGCAACCAAGACATTTTCAAGAACTGGTTAATTTTTATGCTCATCCTAAATATTTCAAGCAAAATCAGGCAGACAACCAACTGCACTGCTTCAAGGGACTGCAAACGATTCTCAAAACTACTGCTGCTAACATCAGATTTGCGGCTTTTCATGCCAATGAGCCTATTTTCACACTGCTAGTTCCTCATGCTGCTCTTGTGCCTCGCAGTCTGCACGGCCATCGGGGAACCGCAGGCGGAGGGTTTTAAACACGACTAAAAACACAATGTGCAGAGATCTGTGGAGCGAGAAAATGTGAAGAGGCAGCTCAGAGGAAGCAGAGTTGCTTATGCAGCTTCCTCAAAATAACAAATGCTTTACAAAGTTAAAAGAGGGAAAATTAAATGTCTGTGTTTTGTATATGTGGCTTTAACGGTCAGAGATTAGGAAATAGTTTTGCTTATTACAAAGACTAGAGAAAAGACAGCACAGACCAGCCTAATGCGGGGATTACACCGATAGCCTGCGCAGGGCTCCCAGGGGACTGTGCAGGCATTGTTCAACACTTTGTCAAACACGGAGGAACTGGTTACTGTAGACGAATTTAATATAAAGCAGAATTAAAAACATCAAAGAGCACAAAAGAATTCCTTACCACGCTTATGGTTTCAAGCCGCCAGCCACCCGCAACATACCCGGAATGGAAATCCACCCTTACACAGCTACACAGCAAAACCGTGCCACCGCACAGGACTCCCCAAGCCACATGCACGCTCACGGACGCACCTAACGCACACGCACCACGCTCGCGGGGATTCTGAAGTACAGCCAATGCTTCAGCCTACACCCCGCAGAGAACACGCGGCCATTCGCTCACCTCCGGCGGTCAAAGCAGGGCGGTGTGCAACACCAGCCCTTTTGACGTCATCAGATGCAGCACGTTGCTTTTCGAGTCATTGAACAAACCTCATAGCAGGGTCTCTCTGTATTTTCATCCCAGGCTCTATCAGCCTGCACCCACCGCAGCAGCTCATCCACACCGCGACTGCACGGTATCTTGTCAATTTTTTTGCCTCCATTTCCCTGGGCAATAAAGCCAGACAGACACGCACGGAGCTTTCAAGCTTTATGACTTTAAAATCTTTGCCCTATTTTAACTGCCAGGAATTGCCACCTGTGCTGGTGTTCACGGAGCTGCTTTGCTCTTTGGTCAGCACTCTCCCCGAAGGGCTCGGGAGCGAAGGTCGAGGCAGATGCGTGCTGTGCCAGGCCAGACTTGCTCTCAGGACAAGGGAAGCTATTGTGTTACCTTTCTCCCATAAGGAAGTGAAGGGGAGGACTGGCACGCTTCGCCGTGGAACGAGATGGTAACGGTTGGGTGGGTTGTGCTCTTCCTCCAACACCAGCAATGAGGAAAGTATGAGCGAAGTGAAAACAGACTGAGCTGTCAGGGCTCTCAGAGAGCAGCACACTGAAGATATTATCTTGCTTACAGTAAAGGTGTTTATCATTGAACTAGTCTGTTCCTGTCTGAAGTGAGTCAGTCTGACCCAGCGCAGCCAGGCCACGTGCTAAAAACCACGGGGGCACCGTGGGCTAACCCAGAAGGGCGGCCAGCACCGGGAAGGGTCTTTGTGGGGCAGACCTTTTCCAGGTCTCATCACACTGAAGTCGAGGCACATACGCAGGCATCTTCCCAGGTTGAAGTCCTTTTAGATCTCATTTATGTGAGGGGGAAAGCCATGCTAGAGAGACCTGGTCCCGACACCAGGGACAAGGCTTCCCATTTAGCGGGCGTCCCAGCAGAGGGACCTGCCCCTTCCCACCACCTTGCAAAGGCTCAGGGTTTCCATTCCCCCATGTTCCTCCTGCCTGTCCCCAAGGGGTTTCCTAACCCAGATGTCTAAATGCTGGCCGGGGGGTCCCCTCCCTTTCCGTATATACCCATAAAAGCTGTGGCAAATGCACCTTGGGAAGACGAGGATGTGAATACCTGTGGATGTGCTGGGAGCTTGGGAAGAGAGGTACAGACAGAGGAAGCTAGCAAAGAACACAGGCAGCTTTTTGCCATCTTCCCTAAATCACCCCAAAGCACAGGGCAAGATGCACAAAAGCCTCTCCTTTGAACACAAACCTTTTGATCGAAGGCCTTCAGAGGTGTCCCCCTGCCTAGGGGTAAGGTAAGGACTTCAGCAGCTACACAGTCTCTGTGCACCTTGCTGTGACCTATTCCAAACACCCTACCCTTTTCCCCTATTTTTCAGGGCCAGCTTTGTTAAGTTGGAGAATCTGTTGACGTTCTGGTTTGCGTTCAGCTTTACCTCTTTGTCTATTCTGCTTTTTGTATTTATTATGTGATCCCTCCGTCTCAGTGCCTTGGTTACTGATTGCAGAGCCTGAATAAAAGGCATCGGTAAATAGAAAAGGACGCAGCTACTCCTGCAGAGATAGGCAGCTGAAGTGCCACGAGGTCGGCCCGAAAGGCGCGGCGAGAAGGGCGCAGATAACGCAGTGTGTTTCCCCGCAGCCCGTTGTCTCTCTTGCTTGAGAGAAACAAAGGGAAATCCAGCTAAATAACCAGGGGGGGAACCACCCCCAAAACCAAAGGGGGATAGAAAGAAACCATTCAGTCTAGTTGTTCGGATCAACAGCCTGCTACACTGGATGAGACAAATTTCCTCGGCTCTCTTTGCCAGCACTTCTCCCGTGTGTTCGCGAGCCGTCTCATCAGGCAGCAGGAAGCCAGATGGGTTCGCTCTCCACCCCCTCCTTGTCCTCAGAGGTGCGACTGAAGCCACATGTCCCAGCTCTGCTCTTGATAAACTCCCCCGAGGGGCAGATGGTCCAGTTATGCTTACTCCTACTTTCCCAGCTAGCGACAGAGCCCTCCTCGGCTGGTCGCTGCAGGATTCAGTCCCCAGCTCACCCTCCTCAGTTACCTCTTTTCCACTGTCCACATCCCTGGGTCCACACCAGGCAGTAAAACATACTCCTGCCTTCCCCACAGTCAGAGCTCTGCCAAGCCAGCCCCAAGGACAAGCTGGAGCTGAGGTCCCCAAAGCCCTGCTAGGCAGCGGGCTGGTGACACCCTTTCTCCACTTGAAGCCTCTGCACAGCTAAACCTGCCCGGGAGCAAACTGCAGCCGTGATGGAGAGCGAGCACAAGGCTGGCGGCTGCCAGGTGGGGAGGAGGGAAAGGTGGGGTGACTCACTGGCTCCCGGGACACAGCCAGAACCTGACTAATCGTGTTTCATCAATCCTCCCGGGCTGCTAATTGGATGCATTTCATTCAACAGACTCACCGGTAGGAGAGGAGCCACGCGGCAGGTACAGATACGTTCCCAGCCCACTCGCTTTGCGTTAGTCCTGCCAGATGCGGGGACCACACAGCAATGCCCTTTCTCGCTCACCCGCTGTTAGCAAAGCAGCAGAGCTAAACCCTCACACCCCCTGCAGCTCCCCACTTGCTCCGTCCCTGCTGCGGGGCTGGGGAGGGCGCAGCACGCAGGGGAGTCTCACCAACCAGTAGAGAAGTTGGGGGGTGGGAGATGTCTCACCCAGAGCCCCCATCTCCCACTGGAGGGCTCTTCCAGCAGATGGGAGCCCTTCGGCGCCCCCAGGCAGCAGAAGACATATTTTGAAGCTGTATTTACAGGGCAGCATTTGAGCAGGGAACTTGCTGCACCACTGGAGGGAAAACCTTTGGTAAGAGGTGTAGACCCCGACTGCAGGAGGGCAGGAGAGATGGTATCTGCTTTTAGAGCCTTTGTGCCCTACCCATATCCCATTTGGGAAACAGCCGCCACAATCATACAGGTCCCAGTAGTTGTTCCTCTCACAGCATCTTTCTACCAGTACGGTTGTGCTGGCTATGGAAATCGTCGCTCCTGATCTCCCAGTCTGGCTCATGAGAGAGCAGCAGCACTGGCTTCTCCTGAAGGGCAGAGCTAGGCTTCAACAACTGCAAAGTTCCACTTGAGAATTGCTTTACTTCAGTATGAGATGTGATGGTGAACGGAGTGGTGCTTTCACAAGCACTGCTGGACATGCTGAGGACAAGCACATTAGAAAAGCCTCCAGCGCTGTCAGCTCAGTCCCTTTCACCATCTCTAAGTGCTGCAGCCTGATGGTGGAGCAATGTCAATGCTCCCCGGGGTCAAGCCTTGTGTGAAAGGTTCCTTCTCCAAAGCTAAGGCAGAAGACATCAGCGTCGCCCTCCTCAAGCACAGCGGCTGAACAACACCGATCCCACTGAAGGCTCGAGGCCCAGTCCTGCAGGTCCATACAGGGTTAGTCCCCTGGAAACGAGAGCCAAGCTCTGCTGCCCGGCACACCAGGGTAAGTTTGGGTTTACACCACAGCAGTCAGTGGGTTTTTAGCTCAACAGGGAGCAGACTCTACCCAGGTATGAGTGCACCGTCAT